GGAGTTATTAGAGATTAAAGATGTCTACGAAGTATATGTATGCAATAAATAAAACATTCAGCATTAATGCCTGTATAGCTAATTTGCACCAGCTGGTAAATCGACGTCATTTTAAAAAACGATTAATCGAAAAATCTATTAGGATAGCAAAATAAACTAAACTGTGATATATTATACCCAAAATTCTTCATACAGTGGACTACCAGTAAAATTAACCAAAGATTATTCAGACCGAGTCTGGGGGAAAAAATTGAAGTTCAGGTTTGCATGAAGCTGGTTGACAGCATGCCCAGGAGACTATATGATGTCATTAAGGCTAAGGGTCACCCGACAAAGTATTGATAGTTGTATAAATATTGACAGCTGTATGAAACATTTTTGGTTTATTGTTATCCATTACATACCTTTCTATCAAAGTTATCTAACATTATCAAGCTGAATTTGTTCTGACACAGTTTAACTCTGAGTTCTTGTCATATTTTATTACCATTTTCTAAACTATAGTAAATAAACTGTTATAATGTGATAAATGTTGTAGGTGTCTGAATAAATTTGTTTGACCGCATCTATTTGATAAATTAAATTAACCAACTAACATTATACATACTCTTTTGGTTTCTGTACCCAATATTTAAAAAATGTACAAATGCAATGAAAATATTAGTTTTGGTACTCGGTATCGGCAAGTACCAAAAATAAAAGTATAGGTATCGGGCGAGTACTGGAAAAAGTGGTATCCCTAGTTTGTAAAGTTGTAACATTCTAAACGCTGTCAATTCTCATAGCTGAGGTGAAGCGTGTTGGAGACACTGTTCTTGGCATGGCCACGCAGTGTGTCCAGGTGAAGAATGTACAGAAGACCACACCTCAGACCCTTTCCAACCTCTGCCTCAAGATTAATGTCAAACTGGGTGGAGTCAACAACATTCTTCTTCCACAGGGCAGGTAAGGGCAGCTTTTTCAAAAGCCTTTGACGTGCAGAAAGCTTAAGGCACTTTTCTGATTCAGGTTTGTTAATGCCTGGGCTGCTTTCCCATGAAATTTGACCGGAAAGTACAGCTATCGCTGAACTTTTCTGCATTGCTTTATCACTGTTTTTGTCTTTAGGCCCTTAGTGTTTCAGCAACCAGTCATCTTTCTGGGTGCAGATGTGACTCATCCACCAGCTGGAGATGGCAAGAAACCTTCAATTGCTGCTGTAAGCCTGACAAGCCTCTGATATTTTAAGGCTGATTATGTTAATTGCATAGTGCCAAGTAGCACTAATACCACAAGTGTGACCAGTCTACTACTTGTACACAATTTTAAGCCATATCATATAATCTCAAAAGTCTTTAATAAGGCTTTTAACATCTCAGAGCTAGGGGGCCCTCTAAATAATAATAATAATAATATTTATATTAGTTATGTGTAAGTTTATATGGGTTGTAAAGCTATAGATATATGTTTTGCTTATATAGGTTATATCATATATAGGTATATGTAGATCTGTATAGGATATATGTTTAGATACCTTTTTATGTTTTGTGTACATGCCCATGTTTGTTCATATGTTTACCTTTATCTGTATGTCTCCACATATGGCAGAATGATAATAAAGCTCACTTGACTTGACTTGATAATAAAAAAGCTAATTGTTTTTTTTTTATATATAATATTTAGGTTGTTGGCAGTATGGATGCCCACCCAAGCCGATACTGTGCCACGGTGCGGGTGCAGCAGCACCGTCAGGACATCATTCAGGATCTGGCCACCATGGTGAGAGAGCTGCTGATCCAGTTTTACAAATCCACACGCTTTAAACCAACGCGCATCATCTACTACAGAGACGGCATTTCAGAGGGCCAGTTCAACCAGGTAGTTTGCAGGCATGCACTTTTTTTTTGCCAACGCTTGCTGACTGGTGCTAACTCGTTTCATTTAATTTTCAGTCTCCCGTTTTGTCTATGCAGGTTCTACAGCATGAACTGCTAGCTATTCGTGAGGCCTGCATCAAGCTGGAGAAAGATTATCAACCAGGCATCACCTTCGTAGTAGTGCAGAAGAGACACCACACCAGGCTCTTCTGCATGGACAGGAATGAGCGGGTTGGTTAATGCACAGGATTTTATCTCTATCCACCTTATTTTTCAATGCGGAAGTAAGCCGTTTTCTGTGAATGTGCGAGACTTCCGGTTCATTAGCCGCTTTAGGGAAATAACGAGAAGAATAACGTGCAGTAAATGCTAAAATTTTATGCACTACAAACCAGTGTGTTCATAATTAAGATAATACATTAAAATAATAAGGTACACTAGTTTGCAATATCAAACAGCAAAACAAGCTGTTTTGTACAGCTAAAAATAGCTGGAAGCAGATGAGACCGGAAGCCAGACATAAAATTTACAAATGGCCGCACACACTCTTACGGGAAAAATAAGGTGGATACAGGAGTCCCTCAAAGGAAAATAAAAAGCAAGGAGTACACAAAGTTTGTATGATTGTAAACCATGCTTAGTATGTTTTAAGAGAACTTCCTGCATGGGAAGTATACCAGTGAGAAATGTGGTTATTGCAAACATCTTGTGAATCAGAAAAGCCTTTGCTCTTTTCATTGGTAAAGAATAATTTTTCTAGAATTTAGTTACAAGCACATGTCCTTGAGGAAATAATGTTTGTTAAATTATGTCCTTTTCTGTCTTTTTAAATGTCTTTTAAATTTGCCTTTCAAATTTGCTGTTTATATTCAAGGTTGGAAAGAGTGGCAACATCCCTGCTGGCACCACAGTTGACACCAAAATTACTCATCCATCCGAGTTTGACTTTTATCTTTGCAGTCATGCCGGAATTCAGGTACCATTGAATATTTCAAATAGAATACCAATGAAAGATCTATAAAGAATTTATAGACTTATTATATAAAGTGAGTGCATATGAATGCTTTATTCCTAGTTATCAGGTACCTAAAAGAATGGAGGTCAATTGGCTTTAGTGTTGATGATAATTATGCTTGTCTAGAGTGTGTGATTTCAGTTCTTCATAATTGCTGATTCTCCACAGGGTACCAGCAGGCCGTCCCACTACCACGTGCTGTGGGACGACAACCATTTCACCTCTGATGAGCTGCAGGTCCTCACCTACCAGCTGTGCCACACCTACGTGCGCTGCACTCGCTCTGTCTCCATTCCTGCACCAGCCTATTATGCCCACCTGGTGGCATTCCGTGCTCGCTACCACTTGGTTGACAAAGAACATGACAGGTAACGGGTCTTACTAACTTGGACGGAGTAAATGACATGATTTTATTACAGAGTAAAAATTATCCTAATTTTTTTGTTGTTTTATATTTTGTGAACCTAGATTGTCCAAGCTGTTATTATATTGAACAAGAAAAATTATAACATGTAGAGAAGGCTATATAGCCCTGTTTAGTATACATTTTCTTTGGGCTGCAACATCCTGTCTCTGCTCTATACAGTATGCTAAAATAACTCCTCAATGCTTACAACTCAGTTTATTCACATTTATTTCCTTACACAGCTGGATGTGACTAATTTTTTTTATAATGCAAGACCTTATTCATTGTTATTATCCCAATAGATCTGATTTATGTGTGTTGTAATTTTTTGCCAGCAGTGCTGAGGGCAGTCACACATCAGGTCAGAGTAATGGCAGAGACCATCAAGCCCTGGCCAAAGCTGTGCAGATCCACCAGGACACACTGCGCACCATGTACTTCGCCTGAACATAGCCAGAAACAAGCCCCACATCCTGAAAACAGCACGGTGTGTGTGTGTCTGTGTGTATTTTTGTGTGTTTGCCTCAATTGTATAAATGAGAACCTTCAAACGGGGAAAAAAAAAAACAAGAATCACCATGCTGTTAGGTTTCCAATTGCCCATGTAGTCAATTTCCATACATACTAAATATCCATGATTTTTAGAAGTGTAATATGTGAATTTTTTTAATTTATCTTTTTTTTTCCTTCTTTTTTTTTGGTGGGCATGGTTATGTGTCTCTGTTGTACATGTGCATGTCAGATTAGAGGTTAACATGTTTACATAGTCAATCCAAAAATTCAAACTATTTTTACACTGAAAGTTACATTTGCTTGATTCAATATTGTCATCAAGGCTGGTGATGGAGACTGTTGGAACAGTAGTTTTTACAAACTCATCAAACCAATGGGTTCGGGTTAGTTTAGGACAACACGGATCAGGTTTAGGGGTTGTAGGGATGCAGTTTCCACAGCTAAATTATTTATCAGCAAAAGCAAGTGCACTGACCAGATGGGGACTTCAGGACAAAAGTACTTATCCTGTTTTGTTTCGTTTATTTGTGCTAATATGAAATTTTTATCGTGGTGTCATTTACTGTTCAGTCCATGGCTCAGTCATCCTACTGTACCAGTCCGACCGCACACTATCATGTGCTTATCATGAAATTTGAACACCGTATGTGCAGAATCAAGAATGCATTTGGAAGTGAGAATATAGGAATTGTTCTGACAATCAGTTTTCTGCGGCTCATATGAGACTGGTTCTCATCAGTGACTCCCTCCATTTACCTGTGCCAGAGTTCTCGGTGTGGAAACAGCTCTGTAATATGGATAATTGTCTTGAAAAGTACTAATATCTTGGGGCTCTAAGCATTTAGATGATGAGATTATCTTGTGCATACTTTAAATTCTAAATTCCATGAGCATTTCTCTTTTTTGTTCGCTGTGATTGTAACCTAAGGTTTCAGTGGGTTGGGTTTATGAGTTAAATTTCAAAAACTCCCTTGAAGAAAAAAATACCATCACTTTTCACTTTAAGCACCTGTTCTGAAATTTTCATTTTGATGTTGTCAAAAATCTTCCCCACATTGAAACACAAAGCCAGTTTTGTGCTGAATATTGGGGAATCTGAAGCCCTGTGATTTGCTTGGCACTGTTGGAGTTTGACTGTACTATGCTGGCATACAGGCAATCACTTTTTTTAAAAGAATGATACACATACAATTGCATTGACACAAAATCAGAGTGAAAATTTCATACAAATTCAAATGCACATTAGTGGGTTTTGTTTTGTTTTTTTAACCAAGAATCTTGTTTATGACGTAGAGATTTCCATGAGAATATTACAAATCCCTTTTTTAACACTCAAGATACATTTTTCTTTAGATATTTAAACCTAAAACCTTGTGAAATCTAGTTTTTCTTTTAGAGACCTTTTGTAGAGTCACAGGGTTGGGCCATTAGGCGAGTGGTTGTTAGCTTTTTATTGCTTAACAAAATAGAAAAATTTATTTAGTTTGAATCCAAACTTATTTCAAATTGAAGGGCAATACATTGTATATGTGTTGGTAAACTGTTTTCATGTAAACAGCCTCATCCCTTCTAAAGCATATCAGGATGTGTAGCGATTGATTGAGTCTTGTTAGTTAATTAACTGTAAGATCGCTTCCCCAAATAATTCTTCAATTTTAACTTGAAATTTGGAAAAAACGGGAATTTTTAACCATCTTTTTCTAACTATGCATTCTTAACCAAGAGATTTTAGTGGTATGTTTGTGTATATGAATTATAAATATAGAACATTTGTAATGTAGTCATTTTCATGCTGGGTACTTTTAGTAGTGTAAATAGTGCAAACCCTGTACCCACTGTAGCAGTATTAGCTTACAAAATACTCTATTTTTATTATCAACAATTGGATGTTCTTTATATGGCTCTCAGTTATTCCTGTTAGCTGAACAAGATTATGTACTTGTAGTTAATGTCCTACCATAACTGAAGCACAATAGGACATTATAATTGTAGGTGCTAGAGTTTATTCTTGAGACTACCATTTCTTTTAATATCTTGTTTAACCTCAGCTTTTAAACAAGAATCACAGACTGGTCAGAGAGCTTAATGAGAATGTTTGGTTTTTGATCTGGTGAAATCTATGACTTTGGACCCTGAAACCCTGACCCTCATTTTCTAAACCCAACAGACTGTGTATAAGGGGCATTTTAATTTATCTTCAAATACTTGACTAGAGTTATGTTGTTATTTGGCGCTGATCGTGTAACTCGTGACAGTAGATGCACTTTGAAGAGCAAGTGCTCATCTGGATCATGAGTATGTTATCTGGGTGCAGTTGTGTGGAAATGACTAGATGTCCTACCTCTTGTTACCTGTTACTTGTATTACGGTAACATTACCGCACTGGTCATTTCCTCATAATTGCACTAATAGGAAACGTCATCTTTTCGTCCCTCTGAAAGTGAAAGTGGTAGATGTCACAGAAAATCTTGAACACTTGCTCTAAAATGGCATCTTTAATTGATATTTGTTAAGAGGCCATACCTGCTGCCATTTAGCCCTTAATGATTTAGCATTGCTGTTGTTTTATTATGGTAGTTTTAAGATATGTATTGAAAGCTACAATTGAGTTCTGCAAGTTTCAGATGTCAAACATTTGATGTTTCATAAGTCCGACATGAATCCAAAAGATTATTAAATGCTTTCCGTGAGTAAGTGGCTTAATGCTTTAAATGTGCACCGCAAGCTATAAAAATGTTCATAAATGTATAGTGAATTCCAGTTTTATCATTTTCTCTCCTTTTTAAATTGCAGCACATTGTCGCTTTATCCATATACTTGTTTGAATGTGTTACGTAGTTTTCCTCTTTTTCTTAACATTAGGTTAGAATAATAGTATTTATGATTTAACATCAGAAACATGAGGAATATCCATGACTACTTGGATATTCTCTGGAACTTTTTTTTTTTTTTTTACCATTCTTTTCATCCTCATGACCTGCTTTAGTTAGATGATTTTTAGAAGTTACTGAGTTTTTTTAGTATTTTAACCTTTTTGAAATCAGCACCTTAGTCAAAGGTCTACAACATATGCAATTTCTCAAGTATGAAATATGAGATGTTTTTGCACTATATCAGAAGAGGTGTTACTAATTTGCATACTGGTGGACAGATTGTTATAGAGAGATTATAGAGAAGAACTATCAATATTAGAATAGTCTTGACCTTGTTTTTTTCTTCATATACCATCATATTGGCACTAATCTATTAGAAATTGACAGATGTAAGAAGGTCTTGAGTTCTTACACTATGCAAAAACTCATTTCCATTCAGAGCCGTCTCTCTGTTTGTATATAGGGGTCAGATTGTCAGATTTTGTCTGTGAAATGTCATGCATACCAAATTGAATTAGGGACTTGAGTGAACGGAAGTCCCACTTGTGTGTGTGTGTGTGTTTTCCCATTCTCTCCTTCCACAATACAATCAGCTGTTGTTTTTAATAAGGGCATAAGGAATCTGATGCAAATGTTTGATTAAAATAAGTCTATTCAAATATCCGTGAATGCAAATGTAATGGAAGCCAAGGATTAAGTACAGTGCTGGTTTTGTTGAGATTGTCACGTTATAATCTATGCTGCAGCATCTCTGTTTCAATTCTTAAGAGGCACATATAGTGTTAACTGAAATTTGAAATGGTGCCTCAATTTCCCTTGAATTATTTATCAATGTTATGCCATTAACTTTATGTATGTCTCTTGCATCATCATTTCTAGACTATTGTCTTTTGCTTCTTGAGTAAAGCTTGTATATTGCTTGGCGAAGTATCTTTCCAGCTCTGTGTGGGGTTACAGTGTCCACATGCCTCTTCGCTTTACACCTTATGGTTTGAATAAAACTAGTCAATTTAGGTTAGATTCTTAGCTGGTGCCCCGATTACTTTCAGAAACTTTTTTTTATTCAAGCCAGACAAAAATGCCAGTCTCATCAAAAGAATTTTGCCCCTAGCTTGGTGATCAGAGGTGGTCTTTTAACTAGATATATTACTAATGTATTTGCATTAGAACTTTTGCACTATAGTGTTCTGAAACAGAAATGTAAGCCTACATACCATGGTAGTTTTGTTACTGTACTTACTGCTTTTTAATTCCTAAGGTGGCAAGTTTCAAAGATGCTACCTTATGACCTGCTAAAACCATGAGGATAAAAACGAACAGTTTGAATGTACTTCATACACCTGCATACTGGTTAAAAACATCCACATTATTTTCATCTGTTTGCTCCACTTTGTTTTATGCATGCACGTTTAAAGCAGCATTGAATCGTTGGGCTTATATCCATGCATATTTCAAACTGTATCTCACCATTCATGGTTGTGATGTACTAAATTAACAGATATGGGCAGCTTATTCAGAATACACACTGGCACAAAGATCCTTGTATCGCTGACGTTTGTGGTGCTGTACTGTAAAAAGTGTACATAAGGCAATGTTTTGGTGTTTCGTGCTTTTTGCCATGTACTGCTTGTATGTTTGCCGGAATTTCCAACTCGAGTTTCATACAAAGGGTTTTTGAGCTATACTATAACACCCATGTTCATATATCAACCCAATAAGCCAAATTGACTTTCATTGAAGCCCTTTTGCTTTACCAGCAAACACTCTGTGGTGGTCCCATAATCATGACAGTGGTACTTGCTGAGCCTCAGTTCATTGTGTGCACAAACTAAACCTCTACTCAGTTTCATCAGGTCAGTTGCCATTCAGCTAGTTGTTTTATTGGGGTATGATGGCATACAAGTGTTTCAAAACACTTTTAGGAT